GGATGTTGCCTGGAATGGAAAGAAGGTCTTATGAGGAAAGGTTGAGAGAGCTAGGGCTTTTCTCTTTAGAACGACGAAGGTTGAGAGGTGACTTGATAGAGGTGTACAAAATGATCAAAGGTATAGATAGAGTAGTCAGAGACTTTTTCCTAGGGTGGAGGTAGCTATTACGATGGGGCATAGTTTTAAAGTGAGTGGAGGTAGATATAAGGGAGACGTCAGAGGTAGGTTCTTTACTCAGAGAGTGGTTGGGGCGTGGAATGCATTGCCGGAGAGGGTAGTGGAGTCGGCCTCATTAGGGGCATTTAGCGGCTATTAGATAGGCATATGGATGATCGTATAAGGTAGGGGTGGAGGTTAGATAGGTCTGAGGTTTAGGGTAAAAGTTCGGCACAACATCGTGGGCCGAAGGGTCTGTACTGTGCTGTACAGTTCTATGTTCTATGTTCTATATCAGATGTATGGATAAAGAAATGCAGACATTCCTTGCTGGAAGTAGGATGGAGGGCCTTAGGCAGAGCGCTTTCAGCAGAGAAAGGAAAGCAGGGTTTAGTTTTCAGTATGGTTCTGGAATATGCTGAGCGAATTTTGTGGATGAGTGCAGGACCTGAAGATTTTTGTACGTTCTAATGGGATGTGGTGGGCCATAGCTAAACCATTTCTTTGGCTTTCTGTTTCAAGTCCGTGTCCCTTGGATGTCAGAGAATGGAGTCAAGTGCCTTCCTGGCTAAAAGGCCAACATGAGCAAGAGTTAACCTTTTAATGGGGTCTAAGTGTGGCTCAAGCTGGTCATGAGCTGCAGAAATGTGGTGAATAGAAGGCCAAAGGTTTGGCAACAGGATATTTGAGAAGACAGTTCTAGATGAACCGGGGGAGGGTTGTTTTCTCGGTGTATAAAGAAGTGGTTCTTTGAGTGGAAACAGAATGTGTGTAAAGATAAAGAAGTGACCAGGAATGTCTTTTATCCTTGAATTGTTGCGGGGGTGGGGTGGGGTGGTGGTCATGGGAGTTGTCAAGTTCAAATGGGTGGCTTGTATGTGGATTTGGAACTAACCTCCCTTCCTCTCCCTCACAGTGCAAATATCAGAGTGTGATTAACAGAGGCTTGGAGAACAGTGAACTCTGAGGAGAAAGACTATAATTAATTGAGCCAGAGGTTGAAATTGCTGAGGATGAGAAACTATCCAATACAAGGGAGCAAACAGTGAAGGTATCTTGAATAAAAGTTGGCGTACTTGAGCAACATTAAAAGAACAAGGAGTTTATGTGTGACATGGAGACGGCTGCACCACAGTGAGATCTACAGAGCAGAAATGGATTGGAAAAGAATGAGGTTTTCGTATTCTTTCATAGGATATAGGGTCAGCATTTGTTGCCCATGCTGACTTGCCCTCAAGAAGGAGGTGAACTGCCTTTTTGAAAACAGCAGCCCTGGGTGGGAAGGTCAGTGAGGAAATACGATGGGATGGTTTCCTCATGGTGAGGCAGTAATGGGTCCTGGGTCCCTTTGTTGGATGCCAGAAGAAAGGGAAAGCTGTAAGCCTGGGAAAGCAGCAAGGCATGAGGAAAGTTGTGTGCAGAAACTTTGTGGGAGGGATTTAGGACATTAGAGTTACAGAGAGAGGTAAAAAAAAAGGAGGTTTAGGATGAGGATTAGGATGAGGGTTAAGGTTAGAGTTAGGGTAAGGATGAGGGTTTGGGTTAGGGTGAGAATTCGCGTTAGGGTCAGGATGAAGGTTGGGGTTATGATTAGGGCTCAGATTAGGATGAGTTTTTAGAGGTAGGGTTAGGATTAAGGTTAGGGCTAGGATGAGAGTTAGGATTAGGTTGAGTGTTAGGATTAGGGTTAGGTAAGAAGGATCTAAGAGTGACAGAGCGGGGATTCTTTGCAAATAGGATTGAAATGTCAGTACATTAGCCACTCATCCATCACGACTCCTCGATAAGCATGCAACTTCACTTAGGCATCACGATGCAGTGAGTGCTCAACTGGGTCCCGAGGCAGTGTGTAATCTCCTTCAGAATTACTGATCTTTGGCTTCACTCAGCACATGGGAGCAAGAACATATTACTGAAGTGGGATCCTATCCTCATTATGTTACATAACAATTGTCATTGCACTTCAAAGGCAATTCATCGTCTGAATCACTTTGAGATGTTTTAATGCAGTACAGCTTTGTATGAATGTTAAGTATAACGTTATTATCACTGGTTACAGCATTAATATTTAATAATATTAATCACAGCAAATGCTTGAGATTCACAAGTTCAAGTTGTGATGATCTTATCATGATGTCCACTGTTTTAGCTCTAATTGCCTCTCCCACTCCTTTGTTCCCATCTGCCACATCAGTTTCTCCTCTTCCGCAATGTTAGAAGCTATGGCTCAGAGACAGAGATTTTACCCGCAAGATCTTCCAGAAATTTTGTAGAGACATTAAAGAAAATTCCTTCCGTCTCTATATGCACTCCCTGTTGTTTTGTTATGTATAAAAAGTAATGGCTGATGAGGGGAAAATGACTGACCAGGTTGGGACTATTGAACATCAGAGGCCATGTGTCAAAATATCCAGGGATGTATTCTGCTTTGTTTGTTGATGTTAACAATTCTAATGTTTTATGGGTATCTGGCTATCTTATCAATTGCTTGAGGACAGTATGACTAGAAACATTAGGAGACAGAGGGTGGTGGTGGAAGCTTGATTTTCAGACAGTGTTCAACAGGGATCAGTGCTGGGTCCACTTTTCTTTTTCATTTCTATGAATGATTTAGACGAGAACATATGAGACATGGTTAGTAAGTTTGTGGATGACACCAAAAACGGTGGTAGAGTGGTCAGTGAAGAAGGTTATGTAAGATTATATGGAGATCTTGATGACCTAATGGTATTATCACTGGAATGTTAATCCAGAGACCCAGGTAATGTTCTGGGGACCCAGATTCAAATCCTGCCATGGCAGATGGTGGAATTTGAATTCAATAAAACATCTGGAATTAAGAGTCTGGTGAATCCATTGTTGACTGTTAGGAAAAACCAATCTGGTTAATTAATGTCCTTCAGGGAGGGAATCTGCCATCATTACCTGGCATGGCCTACATATGACTCCAAACCCATCGCAATGTGTTTGACTCTTAATTGCTCTCAGCGCAATTAGAGATGGGCAACAAATGCTGTTCTAGCTAACGATGCCCTCATCCCGAGAATGAATAAAGAAAACATTGAGTCAATGAGCTGAGGAGCAGCAGATGGAGTTAAATTTGGATAAATGTGAGTTGTTGCATTTTGATATAATCAAGGGCAGGGATTATACAATTAATGATAGAGTCCTGGGCAGTGTTGTAGAACAGAGAAACTTAGGGGTTCAAATATATAGTTCTTTGAAATATGCGTCACAGGTAGACAGGGTGGTTAAGAAGATGTTTGGCACACTTACCTTCATTGCTCAGACCTTTGAGTGTGAGAGTTGAGACGTCATGTTGAGGTTAGACAGGTCGTTGGTGAGTACTATGTGCAGGTCCAGTTACCATGTTATAGGAATGATATAGAAAGAACTGGAGAGGATTCAGAAAAGGTTTACCAGGCTGTTGCCAGGAATGGAGGGTTTGTGTTATAAAAATAGACTGGACAGGCTCGGACTTGTTTCACTGGAGTGTAGGAAGTTGAGGGGCAATCTTATAGAGGTTTATAAAATCATGAGGGGCATAGATAAGGTGAATAGCAAAAGTCCTTTCCCCTAGAGTGGGGGAGTTCAAAACTAGGAGGCATATTTTTAAGGTGAGAGGAGAAACATTTAAAAAGGTCATGAGGGCAACTTTTTTGCACAGCGAGTGGTTCGTGCTTGGAATGAACTGCTGGAGGAAGTGGTAGATGCAGATAAAGTTACAATGTTTAAAAGACTTTTGGATAATTACATGAATAGGAAAGGTTCGGAGAGATGTGGGCCAAATGCAGGTAGGTGAGACTAGTTTAATTTGGGAACATGGTCGGTTTGGACCGATTGGACTGAAGGGTCTGTTTCCATGTTGTTTGACTCTATGGACAGTTTACAACAAAATGTTGGTAAATCACACATCTCTTAATAGAAATCATTGCCATACAGGGGCTCTTTAGATGTTTGCATCAGAAGGTGCTTTCCAGCAGGGCTGCTTCTCTACATGAGCTTCCAACGTGTCAACATCCAAATAGATTCTTGAAATTCACTATATCGATCATTGCCAGGAGGGAACATTGTGTATATGATTGGCAGTGTGCCATCTAATTTGATTTTTCTCTTGGTCACAAATAACTCAAATGTCGAGGACACAAATGACTTATCAAACTGTGATAATGGCTCATTGTAAATCCAATTGAAACAAATATTATTGATCTGCAAAGAGTATTCTTTTAATTTGCAAGTCAATCTGGTAGGTGCAGAAGAGCAGAGAAAGCATTTGACGCTGAATTACATGCCAACCGACCAAAATAAAATTGAGTTGTGGAGCAGCAGGTAATGAAATCAAGGATCTTAATTAAATATCCCTGGCGCACAAAGTGGCCTGGCTGACAACATTTCTATTTGTAAATTTCCTCCCTTTTGTGTAAGGTGCTGACTTTAACCTTGGACTCTTCCACAAGTGGAAGTTGATACCTGTAACTGGGGAGCTAATAGCCCAGTGGTATTATCACGAGACCCTGTTAATCCAGATAGTTATTCTGGGGACCATGGCAGAAAATGAAATTTGAATTTAATCAGATCTGGCACTAAGAGTCCAGTGGTTCCTGTTGTCAGTTGTTGTGGGAAAATCTGGTTCACTAATGTCCTTTAGGGAAGGAAACTGCTTGGTCTGGCCTACATGTGACTCCAGACCCATAGCAATATGGTTCACTCTTAACTGCTCTCTGGGCAATTAGAGATGGGCAATAAATGCTGGCCTGGTCATTAATGCCCACATCCTGTGAATGAATGTAAAAACAAACAAATGCCAATTGTTCTAATCTAATTCTATTTTGGGCAGGCAGTGACTCACTGGTATTATCACTAAACTATGGATCCAGGCAATAGACATGATTTTGAATCCTGCCATGGAAGATCGCGGAATTTTAATTGAATGCAAGTATGGAATTAAGAATCTAATGGTGACCATGCAGCTATTGTCAATTGTCAGAAAAAAATCCATCTGGCTCACTAATGTATAGTTTACTGCTGACCTTACCTGATCTGGCCTATATGTGATTTCAGATCCACAGCAATGTGGTTGACTCTGAGCTGAATTCTGAAGCTCATGACTCATGCACTTTTTAAGTCAAATAAGTCTTGCTGCTGAACCTCAACTCGGACTCAGACCCTCTCCAAGTCATTCGGCAAAGTTCCTGCTCAACTTATGATCGCAGTTCCCATGACTAGGCAATGAAATTGATTAATTGCAAGGGAAAGTAAAATTGCCCCATAGTCCCAGAGGACTGCTCTCTCATAAATGCTGAGGGTCACCACACTTTAGACAGGGCAGTAAGATTAAGAAGGCAAGAACTTCATGGTGACCTTGCGGTACAGGAATTGAACCCACACTGTCAGCGTCACAAGCCAGCTGTCTAGCCAACTGAGTCCTGAAGAAGGGTAATACTCAAAACGTTGACTGCTCCTTTCCTCCAGATGCTGCCCGGCTTGCTGTGTTCTTCTAGCCTCCTGTTTATCTACCTTGGATTCCAGCATCCGCAGTTTTTTTTTGTCTCTAACCAAGTTTATACCACTCTGACGTCTCTTCAAAGGATGCCCACTTTGAAGAAGTCCTCTACATCCTTCAGAGTGAGTCCCTTTCTCACTGCCGTACTGCTGTGACCATTGCAGTCCTTCAGCTCTTCAACCACACCATGAAACAAACCCACTACTACAGTCACGTGACCTTCCTCAGCTCCCCAGTCCTGAAGAAGGGTAATACCCAAAACGTTAACTTCTCCTTTCCTCCAGATGCTGCCTGGCTTGCTGTGTTCTTCCAGCCTCCTGTTTGTCTATTTTGGATTCCAGCATCTGCAGTTTTTTTTTGTCTCTAACTGAGCTAACCAACCCCAGGTAGACCAGGCAGTTAAGATGTTTAGGACGCTTGCCTTCATTGCTCAGACCTTTGAGTACAGGAGTTGGGGCATCATGTTGAGGTTATGCAAGACATTGGTGAGGCCCCTTCTGGAGTACTGTGTCCAATTCTGGTTGCCCAGCTATAGGAAGGATATTATTAAATTGGAGAGGGTTCAGAAATTATTTACCAGGATGTTGCCAGGAATAGAGGGTTTGAGTTATAAAAATAGACTGGATAGGCTGGGATTTTTTTTCACTGGCATGTAGGAGGTTGAGGGGTGACCTTATAGACGTTTATAAAATCATGAGGGGCATAGATATAGTGAATCACAAGGATCTTTTCCCCAGGGTAGGGGATTTCAAAGCTAGGGGACATACTTTTTAAGGTGAGAGGGGAGAGATTTAACATGGACATGAGTGGCAAATATTTTTACACAGAGACTGGTTAGTGTGTGAAATGAACTTCCAGAGAAAGTGTTGGACGCAGGTAAAGTTATAACATTTAAAAGGCATTTGGATAAGTACATGAACAGGAAAGGTGTGGAGGGATATGGACCAAATGCAGGCAAGTGGGACAAGTTTAGTTTGGGAACATGGTCAGCTTGGACTGGTTGGACCAAAGGGTCTGTTTCCATGCTGAATGAGTATGAATCTATAAAAGGCAATTGCCTCCTGGTGAGAGATGGCTCCAGATTGTCAGGTATTCATAAAAATTCCTTTCCCAGATCAAAGTAAAAAAGAAGAAATCATATTTTACCCCTTTTTTAAAATGCATTTTCGACTTCGAAATGTGCTCTCTACACATTAGCCACAAGACTGTCATAATGTGGTACAAACCATGCTATAACAACAGGGTATAACATCTGACTTTTCCGAAATGTATGTATACTATAAAACTTTAGTGAATATTGATCAATATTTATTTTTCAAGCCATACTGAAGAATATAGATTGTGCCTGTGCGGATGGTGGGAGCTATCTGTGAACAAATTGGCTGCCATGTTCCGACTTCAAAAGTGCTTCATTAATTTTGAAGTATTTTGCGAGGTGTTGTGCTGCTATGGAAACATAAGACACCCTTTCTTTTTCTTTGTATCTATTGCCGTCTCCTTCTTCTTTACTTGCTGGTTTCTAACACAATGTCAACCCAAAGCACCGCTTATATTTCAAAGGTCAGTAATGTGGAGAAGCGAAATTAATGCCCTTGTTTTATTATAGGAGTTGAAGGTAGCAACCTTGTTTTATTCATTAGCTAGGCACAGACAAGCCACTGTTGAGTCGAGTAAACCTCCAAGTGCCAATCACAATTTAACAGAGAATGAACATCTGCCACATACTTGTTACGTTAACAGCTATGAAGGACACAAACATATTAGAAATAGATCTCAGATTCACTCTACCACTGTCAAAATGCAGAAAGAATGGGGAAACATATGTGACTTTGCACCTAATGGGTGTTTAACCGACTGTCACATCTCGTGGCGCGTATTTATTATACTTGATTTATGAGACTAGGGATGAGTTTTTGTATCAGTTACTTCTCTTCCTCTCCATCAGCTTGATTGCTTGCTTTTGCTGCAGCAAAGCCAAGCTACACTGACGTATTTTGCAATGGGTTACATTGCCCTGGATGATCCAAAGAGAACTAAGAAGCAAATCCCACCACTCTCTGCATGTTAGTTTGCCAACATCGGGTTATCTTGACCCAACCAGGAAGAAACCCAGCCTTCCAGATCCCTCAGTCGAGTCTAGCTGGTTTATCCATCATTGGGGTGGGCAATAATTACCAAACAACACAGTGAACAATATGATCTGCTTTCAAATATGTGAATACATTACTACCATTCACCTTCAGTCTATATTTTGCATTGCAGAAACACACCACGATATACTGTTAAATTTGACTGGGTTTTGTTGGACCGAGGGGTCTATTTCCATGCTGCATAACTCTATGACTCAGGGAGGTCCTGTGGCACAGTGGTGGTACCCCAGAAGCTCTGGGTTTGAGTCCTCGGTCAGGACCTGTTGAAATGTGTTCAAACAGCTTGCTGGTCAGTCTGTAAATTCTTCCAATAAAGCTGATGGCAGACAGCAAGAGCTGGAGAGCCTCCTGCTTAGTCATCCTGCACGCAACAATGGAAACCACTACAGTGCTTTGCCCATATGCGTGAAGAGTCAACAGGAAGTATGTGTATTAACCTTTGGGATTAGAGAAACAGATAGGCAGATAGGGTGGGGATAGGGAACAAACACAGATCGGGCAGCATCTGCAGAGAGAGAAACCAAGTTAACATTTCAAGTTGGGTGCAAGTCTTCTTCAGAACAGAAGAAAGTTCTGAAGAAGAGTCTCACTGGACTCAAAACATTAACTCAGTTTCTCTGTCCACGGATGCTACCAAAAGTGCTGCGCTTCTCCAACGTTCTCTGCATTTGTTTCAGATTTCTCATATCAACAGTATTTTGCTTTTATTAGGTGCAGGGAAGATGTTTCCATTGATGGGAGATCATCGAGTAGTGAATTCAAGAGAAACTTCTATACCCAGAGAGTAGTTTGATATGGAACCTGCTAGCCCAAGAATTGATTGAGTTGAATAACATAACTATTTTTAAGGGGAAGCTGGATACATGCATGAGATGGAAAGGAATAGAAGGATTTGTTAAGGATATCAGATGAAATGGGACAGGAATTTCAGGTGAAGCAAAATGACAGGCTTGGATCTAATGGACTAACTACTATCTTTGCCCTGTTTCAAACATGAAGGAGGTAGGTATAGCTTTCATGGTTATAAGGATCAAGGGATTTGGGGGAGAGTGGGCTTAGGATATTTTTCTCAACAACCAGCCATGTTTATAATGAGGGGTAGAATGGCCTATCCTGCTCTTAGGTTCTATGTCTTTCGTTAACTTCATGTTCTGGGGACTCAGATTTGAATCCTGCTGTGGCAGATGGTCGATTTGACTTCAATGAAAAGAAACTGGAACTAAGATTCCAATGATGACTGAGAATCCATTGATAATTGTCAGAAAAACCCATTCGGGTCACTGATGTGCTTCAGGGAAGGAAACTCCCTTCCTTACATGGTCTGGCCTAGATTGGTCTCTCGACCCACAACAATGTGATTGACTCTTAACCGTTCTCTGAGCAAGAAGAGATGGACAATAAACGTTGGCCTGGCCAGGGACACTGACGTAGTGTGAGTGAATAAAATTGTCTCTGTTTCTGTAAATACATTGCAATACTTTACAAATTTAGAATGCAAAGTTACTGATTGCTGTCAAGTGCGCTCAAAGGAAAATAAAAACTTCCAGCCAATTATGCTTTAGTTATTGCTGCATATACTCATGTAAAATTTGAGCTTTTGAGACCAAATCTTTTGGGTAAAAAAAAGAGGGTTTTTCTTTTAAATGAATAATACTTCAACGGTTTAAAATGCTCTGCCAGGTCGTTGGAACGACGAATCTGGACACTGGTTGCTGGCCATGGTGCTGAAATCTGCTATCTGACATTTTAACTGATAATAAGAATAATTATAAAAAAGACACACTGGACTGTTCCTATCAACTCTGCTCCCAAAACTAGGACAAGGGGTAAATGAAAAGTGAAGGATTATTTGGTGGAGGGTGGCAAATGTAACAAGTCAATGCATGCTTGCAATCAGCTATGACTTGAGTATATTCGTCAGATTCTGTTCTCTCCCACCCCCGCACTGTGTCTATTCCTCCCTAAAAAAATTTTTCCTTCATTGACATTTGAATGGATTAATCTATTTATTTGCATTTCTTATCAGTGGACAGACCAGACTTGATGATAATGTGAGTAATGGTACATCTAATATCTATTGTATGTAAGGATTGAAACAGACACTACACTTTTAAATGGAACTTTTCGGAAACTCAATCATAAGCCACAGACAAAAAGAAGAAAATGCCATTTTTCTTATCACAAAAGCGAATCAAAGG